CTAGCCTAGGGGGCATTTGGTTTCAGAGTCGCAATCAGCAAGTTATCCAAGCAGGTTATTCCAGGCAGGTTGGGAGGCTGTTTGGCACACTGCAGTGCCTTCCTGGACACAAAGCAAGGCACAGACAATTATATGTATGCGTACATAATACATACATTACATACAAATTACATCTTTATTATTATTATTGTTGTTGTTGTTGTGTTAGAATGTTTGATTTTAAAAATTGATGCTTGAGTTGATGACGAGGCTCATAAAAAAATTACTTAACGAATTTTGGCTCAGAAGAAGGACGGCACTTTCAACAAGTTCTGAAAGGGCCGTAAACATACTTCTGCCATTTTGGACTACGTATTTAAAGTGAACTGGTGCTTCATTGCATTGATGATTATAAAATTAAAATGTCGGTCAATTTTGAAGCGTGTTGAAGACGATCTCTGTCCTGCAGTATCAAATATTTAGCAAAAGTTCTTTATGTAAAAATAAAGAAACACAGCATCTCATTATTGTGCGTTTTCTTTATTCTTTAATAAATGGTAATATACGCCGAAGAGCTATTTTAAAATAAATTTCTTTAAGATTTACTATTACTAAGTATTTCATTTTATACCTATGTGATAGCTCTGTTCACTTAAGGTCATATAAAATCTTTTAGCCAAAGGGTTTTGAGTAAAAACAATTTAAGAAGACCTAACCTGGTATGTGTGTCTTTTCTTATTTTTACCAGAACAAATTTGGAGTTGATACCTGAGAATACCATTGCTAGATAAGGAGCAAATGCCTGTGAAATCTTGGTAATTATTGCTCAATTCCTTTCCCAATGGTGTCTTGCTGTTTGTCACTCCCCAGTGTAATAGAAGAGTAAGACTAGTATTATGGCCAGAGTCTTTCTTGCTGGATAGAGAAACAAATAACATTTTCTATTATTTTCTTTATTTTGGAACACATTGAAAAGAGAGCCATCCTTTAAGGGATACTCAAGAGAATGTGTTTCAGTGTTGCAAAGCACGGGAGGGATTTCTGGTTAGTTCTTGCTTTACCCTGATCAGTCCAGGAATAAAATATTAAACAGGCAAAGAGTTAATTCTATAGTATAACAGGCATACTCCTGTGATGTTTGCTAACTTCTGCTTATTTCTCTCTCCATTTGATTTGGAGCTTTTGGCTTTGTTTGCATCCTGCTAACTATCAGGGTATCAAGCCTTCCTGTTAATCAGCTAATCCATCCACGCTAGACTTGGATCCTTCTCTGTGGCTACGTCGGAAAGGTATACGCCACGGCTGTTAAATCTACGAATGGCTTGTTCTTATGAGAAAAGTACAAGGACAGGAATTAGCAGTTTAGAACTTTCACCATGATTTGACGTCATGCTGATGCCAAGGAAGTATCAACAGACTTTTGCAAAGGCACAGAACCATAGTGCGTTAGAAACGTTCAAATGATAGTGAACACATGTGATTCCACTACTTAGGAGCCTGATATATGAGGATCACGGGAAAAGCTGTGTAGCCCAGCAAAATCAACCAATCAACCAGACAAACAACCTAAAAAAGGCCTTTAATTGCAGGTAGGTTGAGAAGCACTGATCTGTGGCCTTTGTTTTTTTATCCTGAGTCAATAGTTTTACATCTCGAGTATTTACAGAGTGTTCTTACATTGGTTTAATCTTTTCCTTGTTTCTTTTGGCTGTTGTGATAAAACACCTTGATAAAATGCAACTTAATAGAGAAAGGATTGATTTTTTTGCTCATGCTTTTAGGTTACAACCTATCGTGCAGGGAGGTCAAAGAACATCAAACAGCTAACAGCTAATTGTGAGTAGAGAGAAGTGAATGCATACATCCTTGCTTGTGTTCAGCTCAACTGATCACTTTTATATAGGTCAGGATCTCTTTACTAGGGAATGGTGCTGCCCATAGTAGGTTCTGCCTTTCCACATCAATTAATCTGTGATAATTAGTCCCCACAGGCCAATGTAATGGTGATAATCTATCACTGAGACTCTCCCAGGTGTGTCAAGTTGTGTCAAGTTGACAACTGAAGCCTACCATCACAAACTTCTAATAACTTCTCTCCTTTTAGGTTTGGTTCATGGCTTCCTACAAATTTCCTTTCTATTAATTGTTACTGTTGTTTTGTAGGACTTTTCCAGACCTTTATGTGTTAATGTGTATGGTAAGTTCCCCAGAAATAATACCTGGAAAGTCCTCACATTTCCCAATTTTTTCAAACTTCCAAGGCATTAAATAAAAAATAGCATCAAAACAAACAGACATTTAGTTCCTCATTGGTGTCTCACCCTCTAGTCTTGACGTTTGCTCTATGCCTTCATAACAGCTATCTGATTGTTTAATTCTAGGAAATGTTTAGAAATGAGATCCTGAAGTCCTAAGTATGTTCTGTAAGTGCTTCAGCATGGACTCTGCTACAGCTGGAGTTGTTAACTGTGTTCCTATAGAACTTCTAGAGAAGAACTTTCCCTTCTCAATTTTAGGAGTGCCATTTCTAGAACTCTAGATACCCAATCTTTGTTTTCTAAGAACATAATTGTTCTCTTATTTTTAATTTTCAACTTTTTTATGTTTTGTAGTCCTGAGCATCAAACCTAGGAGCTCTCATGTACACCAAGCAAGCCTTCTGCTACTAAGCTATACCCTAACATCTCTTTTTACTTTCACTTTGAGATAAGGTCTCACTACATTGAACTTTTCATTTTCTCGCCTTAGCCTTTTGAGAACAAGAAATATAGGCGCACATCACCAGGGTGGGCTAGAGTATCGTGCTTCTATAATAGGTTTCAGTATACATGGTATAGATGTTAAAAGCTTAAGTTTTAGAAGCAAGCACATCTGGGCTCAGGAGTAGGTTTTAGAAACATGAATTCTTACTTCATTTATAAGAGAGCTAGAAACCCAGAACAATAAAAGATGGATACCAGTCCAGAGCAGCGGGCATACTGACTGAGTACACAGGACAGATTTTGCTGGTTGTTGTCATTATTGTTGTCGTTATTGTTGAAACACTGTCTCACTTAGTAGCCCTGGCTGACTTGGAACTTGCTGTGTGGACCAGGCTGGCCATTCCCAGAGATCCACACACATCAGCTACCAGAGTACTAGGATTAAAGGTATAAGCCACTGAGCCCGGCTAATTTTTATTTTATTTTTGTTTTGGAGCACTGAACAGTTTGTATATCTCGTTCTTCCTTCTCCTCACTGCCTGAGTAATCAGTAGGGTACCATCTTAGTCATCTATATCTGACCTTCCAATATTTAGACTTTACCATTTGTCAGCAAAGATCTGTGTTTTGTATCCTGTTTATTTCAAAACCTATCAAGCACATGGCCTTGTCATGTCTGCTGGTCATTAGGCAATCTTGGCTGTCAGTAATTTTCTACTGCAGACTTCTAGTTTGTCTGGTGTGAACAGCTAGATTGGTAAAGTTTGGGTGGGAAGCTAACTTAACTGGCTACCAGCAGGGGCACATTTCCTGTTTATCCATAGCTTGGCCTAAGCTTGTTTTTCTAGGGCACTCAGTCTGAAAAGGATCCCATTCCTTACTTTCAAGTGTAATGGGTTGTTTGATTGTCTTCTTATTGACTTGTGAAATCTATTTATATATTATTTTTTAATCTTATGTCAAAATTTTTTCATCTGTGTATTGTATTTTCATTTTCTTACACTATCAAACACTTATTTTTATGGTAGTTTATCAACTTTTTGTAATAATTTTTGTTTTGTATTTTCCTTAAGACTTCCATATTCTGAGATCAAAAACAAGTTCTCCATATTTACTTTAAGCTGCTTTTCCATTCCACATGATCTTTATAGGGATTTGTATTTGCAAAGCTTGTGGTAGGGATTTTATTTCTAAAAGGAATTCATGTCTATCCTTGGTGCTAACCCATTTCTAGTAGATAATAACGAGAAATATTGTTGAGTGTTGAAAGCTGCACTTTTTTGAGAGGTCATAATTTTGTTTTTCCTTAGTTTTATGTCCTGTCTTGCTTTCTGTCCCTTATTAGACATCTAGGGATTAAAGCTCAATCTTGAATAAAAGTGGAAGTTGGAAAGTCTGCATCCTTTTTTTGTCTCCAACCTATTTAGTTGCCGAGTGTGTGTGTGTGTGTGTGTGTGTGTGTGTGTGTGTATGTGTGTGTGTTTCTTTTGCAGCTCTGGCTATCCTGAAACTTTCTATGTAGAACAGGCTGGCCTCAAATTCACAGAGATTCACCTGCCTCTGCTTCCAGAGTTCTGGGATTACAGAGGCACACCACCACACTGGACTTGTCATGACCCTTGAAGAATATTCTCAGCGTTGAGAAAGACACCTTTTGAAACTTCTAGACTATGTGTTTCTTTTTTTCTGAGAAATATTAGAATTATTATGGGATGCATATGCAGATCTGTGACCAGCTCCATCATCCCCACCTCTCTATCTGTATTATGTTCAGGGAACTCCCACTCTCAAAAGGAATTCCAGAGGCTGTCTTAACTCATTGGTTTCAATGAATACTGATTGTTCTTATCATGACCCAAAACATAAACACCACAGAAGCTTAGTAAAATAGTAGAAAAGTAAATACACAGCAGAAAATAACCATTCTCAATCCATCACCCGACAAAGCTATAAACATTCTGATGTTTTCGTTCTGTCGTTTCTCTAAGAATATAAATAACACATATTTAAATACAGACATTGTATATTGCATTCACACATCAGTATGATATGTATATAATACAGTTATCATATGTTATATATAGGGCCGTATATCTACAGATATTGCAAATATTGTTGTCATTTTATTTTATGTTATGACATCAGTTTTAGTGACAGTATAGGTCTCTCCTTTAAATGTATATTTTGCATCAAGAAAATCAGATTTTAAATTGATCGATTTTTAGATCTTCCCCTCAAGATTACACTGTCCTTATCAAGATTATATGTCCTTAATAAGTCCAAATTTGTCATCTCATACACACACACACACACACACACACACACTACAAAATTCTTTATGAATTTGCAAATCATCCTTACACCGGGGCCACACTAATCTTCTCTGTATTGTTCTAGTTTCAGTATTTTAGCATTTGTGTTGCCAAAGTGAGCATGACATATTTCTTTATATGTCTCTCTCTTTTTGAGACAGGGACTCTCTCTTCAAAATGCTTACTGGGAGTACAGGCATGCCCTGCCGCACCTGATTTTTATATGCTTCTTGAATCATTTTGTCCATATTTTGTTTGAAAAGTTTGTGGCTGTGCTCATATGAAAGGATAATTTCCCTAATATTTTCACCCACCTGCCTTTATTATTAAAGTATACAGTGTTCATGAATAGAATTGGAAATTATGTCCTTTAAAAAATACATGCTGAAAACTTGTGTGCAAATTAGCAATTTTGAAATTTGCTTCTTTGAAAGTCTTGCAGAGTGTACTTTAAAATTGGTTGGCTTTGTAGAAGGTGGTTTTAAAATTTAAAAAGAAACACAACTTTTATTGGTCTTCCAGACAAACTTTGGGTCTGGAGTGATGGCTCAGTGGTTAAGAGCATATGCTCCTCTTCCAGAAGACCTCAGTTTCCCTCCCAACAGTTATGCTGGGCACTTTGCAACTGCCTATAACTTCAGCACTAGGGGACCTGACACCAAGGCCTCCTGGACTCACTTGCACATAACCATACAGATAAACACATATACGTAGACACACTTAAAAATAACATGTAATTCTTAAAAGTCTTTTATGTACTAATCAAATCTGTGCTATTAAATTAGAATACTACTTTTCGAAATTTATAACAAGTAGAAACGTGCCCACTCCAAGATTTCCTCTCTGTTCCTTTTATGCACCCTACACGTACACTGGGACCATAATCTTACCAGATTTAACCCACAAATGATCTCAAGAGAGGGAAAGGGTCTGTGTCAGCCTTACATGTCACTTGAGCTTATTTGAAGCAGAGAGTTCACTGGCTGAGATAAAAAGCTGAACCCAGAGAACATGGAGCAGGAAGAGACAGCTGGTGTACACAGGGCCTCTGTTCCTGTTGAGGGGACCCCTGAGCTAACCTGAGAGTGGCCTGAGAGTGGAACATGGTCCTTGGATAACAGATAACAAGAAAGGGAACAATGCAGGCATGCAGCAGAAGGAAAAGAATTGTGCCAGAAGTCCAGGGCTGCTGAAAGCCAATCTGTCCCCAGTCAGGATGCTGCTCACCATGGCTGCTCTGTCAACCTCAGGCCACCTTCACGGGGCACTGAGCACAGAGGCAGGAGTTGAATGCCAGACTCAACCTTTGTCCACTGCTGAAATAGTAAAGTGTTGTTTTGAGCTTGGTTTTATGATTGTTTCTTATGATTTTTGGGGGGTAACATTTTGCTATAACTATCAATCTCTGTTAATTTATTTCTACCCCTTTAGTCTCATGCTTCCTATATTATTATATTTTAGGTGTTGTTTAATAAGTATCATTGAATTTTAAAATTGAAACTCTCTGATTTAATTTAAATATGTTGCCCAAATATTCTTATTACAGTTACTACTGTGTTTGAATCATATCTACCATGCATTTTCTAGGATTTCCCTCCTTGCCTTTCGAAAGTGCGTTTGTGTTCTCTTTGAAGTTGAATAATCTCCCCGCCTTTTATCAGTTTTGAAGTTACACACTCTATTCTTTTAGTATCTCCCTTGAAATTTTACCGCTTCTGTTTATAAAATAATGAGAGCGATCACGAATCAGCACAGCACGTTTCTTATGCAGAGCAGAAAGCGTTTTCCTGTGCTTTCAACATGTAATAAATGGGAGGCACAAATGAGAGCTTCCTAGTGACATTTGCCTCTTACTTGCCTTCTCTGACAGGAAGAGGGATTGTCCTCCTGTCTCTCCAGCAGATGTCCTTGTAATAAACAGGGGTCAGATTCCAGAACATGTGTTTTGTTTGGACCTTGGAAGAGTTACCATCTTTGACTTTTACTCACTGTTGAAACTTAGCTTATTAAGATTTATGTGAGGAATAAATAATAATAATATAACTATTATACATGCACACACACAAGCACACACACACATGCACACACACAAGAACACACACAAGCACACACACAAGCATACACATACATGCACACACACAAGAACATATGTAAGTACATACACACATGCACACACACAAGCACACACACACATACACACACACAAGAACACACACAAGCACACACACAAGCATACACATACATGCACACACACAAGAACATATATAAGTACATACATACAAGCACACACGCAAGCACACACACAAGCACACACACAAGCATACACATACATGCACACATACAAGAACATACATAAGTACATATACACAAGCACACACACAAGCACACACATACATGCACACACACAAGAACATACACAAGTGAACACACACATACATGCACACACACAAGAACACACACAAGCACACACAAGAACACACATACAAGCACATACACATTCAAGCAGACACAAGCACGTGCATACAAGCATACACACACATTCAAGCAAACACAAACATAAGCACACATACAAGCACACACATTCAGGCAAATACAAACATAAGCAAGTTAGGCAAATGCTTAGTGTACAACAAAACCATTGTTTTTATTGATGAAACATCAATTCTATTTTTATACCCCAGCTCGCTTTGCTTAAAAACTCTTTTCTCAAGGCTTCGTGCATACGCATGTGTATAGAGTGTCCTAGCTGGCCTTAGTACTGAACTTGACACAACCTTGAGTTCTCTGAAAGTCACGATTGAGGGATTGGGTAGGTCAGATGAACTAGTGGGCAGGTTTGGAGCAGGGTGTGTGTCCTAATTTTCTTTCTACTGTTCTGATAAAGAAGATGACCAAAAGCTACAGAGGGTGGAAAGGGTTGACGTCATGTTACAGCTTAACGTTCATTGTTGAGGACATCCAAGGCAGGAACTCAAGAAGGGTACCCAGAGGCAGGAATTGGAGCAGAGGCTGTGAGGGAAGGCTGCTTGCAGGCTTGCTTCCTATGGTTTCCTCACCCTGCTTCCTTATACACCACACCACTCATTAACCAAGAAAATGCCCTCAGTCTGGAATACAAAGCCAATCTGATGGAAGGATTTTCTCAATTGAGGCTTCTTCTTCCCAGATGACTCAGGTGTATGTCAAATTGATTTTAAAAACTAACTAACTAACTAAGTAACTAACTAACAGCTAATTAACTAAATAGCATAGAGGTAGTGTCTTTACTAGCAATTGATTTATGAGGTCCCAGCACACTGTGGGTGGCACCATCCCTAGGTAAAGTGGTCCTGGACTGTATAAGAAAGGCAGCTACGCATGAGCCAATAAGCAGTGTTCTTCCATGGTTTCGTCTTCAAGTTCCCACCCTGACTTCCCTCAATGATGGACTGTGACCTGGAAGTGTAAACTAAATAAATCTTTTCCTTTCCCAGGTAGCTTATGATGTGTGGGACTGCGTAAGGGTATCTTGGTTCATGGCTGGGCATGGGTCTGGAACCCCGAGACTCCAAGGGAGAAACAGCAAGCATTCGGCCACATCCCCAGAACCCAGAGTCCTGACACACAGTCTAGTCTCCATGGACCTACATTGTTCAGTCATGTAGGCCATTGGTGGGGGGCCCTCCCAAAGTGCACAGGTAGAGGGTGTGACTACAGGCCTCAGGCCCTAGAGATTTACATACTAATGAAGGCCAGAGGGAGGAGCAAATTAAGCATTATTCCCCAGACCCTCCCCTTTTCTCCCTCCCAATTTAACTCAGGTCTCCCCTGAGTTTCAAGGGGGTACATCCAGATCCATCCACCATCCGCCATGAAAATAAACCCTTTTGGAACCAAGGACTTTCTCGTGTCATTGAGGCCTGTCGTTGCAGAAGCCTCCAGCCTTTGGAACTCCAGGACTTTCTCCTGTATGTGGGACGCGCCGGGGTGGAAAGTCTCCGGGACTCCTCCACTGCGGCCTTTTTTTCCCACAATGACGAACATGTTTTATCACACCAAAAGAAAGTAGAATAACTCTGTGTGTGTGTGTGCGTGTGCGTGTGTGTGTGTGCACAAGCATGCATGCACATATGCCTCTGTTCACATTACATTTCAGTCATCTCACTAAATCTCATTCTCAAATTAGACATCTACTTTCTGCACAGAGTCTAGAGGTGAAGGCTCTCGGTCATATGGAAGTGGTTCCTAGGGACTTCCTTCTGCGTGTTCTCACAAGACTCTTGAATATAACATCCATGGAATGAAGAAGTGCCAATAAATGATAACCTTGAAGAAAATATTGTCACTCTTAACATCCAAGAAGGACAGGACAACTCTGATAAGCTTATATAAATCAAATACCATGCAATTTTTAAACTATGTATTTGGACTTCAGTAGGCGCCAAATGGAGAGCGTAACTCCAAATATGCTTTCAAAAAGGGTTTATGGAACTTGAGCAGCTTTTCTAAATTTGACCATGGACGTTTATACCTTTTAATTTAGTGGATTTGAAATGCTTGGCTTCAAGTAGCATGTTGTAAGAAGGTTATTTCTGGACTTTCTCTGTGTGTAAAGTATAAAATTAGCATCCCTCTTTGGCAATTGAACTTCCTCGTTTCAACGCCAACTCGACTCATCAGATTGTTATAGACACAGACTAATTAAATGTCCTTCTGTTTTAAGGTTAAACTCTATATTGCCACTGATACCTAGAGGTCAAGTTTAAATGGCACGAGCTCAATAATGATCTGCACTGTTAGAGTCACACTGGACCATGGGAAGTTTAAAAAAGAACAGTCCAGAATTACTGCTTTACGATCACAGTAAGGACACTGCGTAACATTTACTGATCTTTAGAGTCAACCGTTGCTTAAAAAATAAGGAACTCTGCCTAAAGATGTCTCAGGCATTTGCTGCTGTTCTCTTCTGAGGCTGAGCAGATGGAATGGATGTTAAAATGGTTGGTTTTTCAGCTAAAAGATATACCCTCATCCCTGCCAAGGTAGCTAGGACTCGTGGTGGAAAAGAAAGGACACTGCTTAAAAACATGACAGAAATCCCCAAACTCTGTTAAAGGTCTTAGCCATGGTCACC